GGAGAGAAAGAGAAACATTGATTTGTTGTTCCACTTACTTACTCATTCGTTGGTTGCTTCTTGTATGTCCCCTGACTGGAGATTGAACCCACAACCTTGGTGTATCGGGACTATGCTCTAACCAACTAAACTACCTGGCCAGGGGATGTTGAACATCTTTGAAGGTGCTTATTGGCCATTTGCAAACATTTTTTGGTCAAGTCAAGCCTTTTGCCCATTTAAAAAATTTATGTTTGTCTTTCTCTCTTTCTCTCTCTCCCTTTCTAAAAATCAGTTTAAAAAATTGGGTTTATATTATTAAGTTGTAAGAGGTCTGTTATATATTCTGGATATACATTCTCCATCAGATTTCTTGCAAGTGTATTCTCTTTAATTTTCTACATTGATTTTGTGTATTTCTGACAATGTATAGATCAAGTTAAGTATGTTAATACTGGAAGCATTATTGTTTAAATTCAGTTAAATTATGTGAAAGCACTTTTTTTTTTTTAATCCTCACCTGAGGATATTTTCATTGATTTGAGAGAGAGAGAGCACACGATGTGAAAGCGAAGCATTGATTGGTTGTCTCCCATACGGGATTGACCCACAGTCTGTGTATGTGCCCTGACTGGAGAGTCCAACCTGCATCCTTCCAGTGTTTGGACCGATGTTCCAACCAACTCAGCCACCTGACCAGGGTGCAAACTTATTCTTAATCCACAAGTCATTTAGTATTTAGTATAACAAAATGTTAAGTGTTTGCAGAACCATGGGAAAGAATGATATTATTTGTACAGATAGTATTAGGTGTTTTGAAAGTGATATTATTTGGCAATTTTTTACATTTTCAGTTTTGGGCAATTCACAGTCCTTTTCATTTATTACTGAGTTAAAGTTTTTCTTAATTTTTTTCTTTGTAGGATAACGGAGAGTATTTAAAGTAAAATAAAGGTAATCTTGATTGTAGAATCTGGTATGATGATAAAATTGCCAAGCTTGGTCTACCAATTTTGACAGTGAAGTAAATTTTTTATTGTTTAAAACAGATGACTTTTCAGAGTATATGTACTTGATTTCTGCATACTGTTTTATTCCTACAAAGCATCAGTTCTCTTGCATTTTCCTCCATAATAATTTGTAATATGTGACTCCTCTTCCTGTTTAATAAAGGGGGGGAAAGCACAAGCCTTTGGGCACCTATTGGTGCCATGCACTACTCCAGGTGATGGATCAAGTCGTTGCTCAGCTCAGTCTTCCCATTGGATTCAAGTAAGAAACTCTTGAAGCTATCCTTCCAGGCAGTCTAGGGAACAGTTCCAATGCTCTTATAGTGCTTTATCTCCAGTAGTTTTCTTATACCTTTCCCCTGTTGAACTTGACCTTTTTACTGGTCCCCAGGAACTTTCACATGGCTCGTCTGTGTTCTGTCTTCTTTCTGAAATATCTTCCCTACCATTTTAGCGTTGCAAGATGCTGTTTAGCCCTGGCTGGTTTGGCTCAGTGGTTAAGAGCGCCAGCCCATGGACTGGACTGAAGGATCCGGGGTTGGATACCGGTCAAGGGTTGCAGGTTCTATTGCCACCCCCAGGGCACATGTGGGAGGCAACTAATTGGTGTCTCTCTCTCTCTCTCACATGTATGTCTGTCTGTCTCCCCCCCCTTCCCCCTTCCTTCCACTCTCTGAAAAGCAATGGGAAAAATATCCTCCTGTGAGGGTTAAAAAATAATAAAATAAAACCAAAAGTTAAAAAAAAAAAGATTCTGTTTAGCCTCTTTGACTCAAAACACTCCTTCCCCTATCCCAACCAAACCAGACAACTTATTTATTGCTTAGAAAGAAATACAACACATCTCTTGGGGTTTTCTCTCTCCCTCTCGCCTTCATTTTAAGCTCTATTTTACTCATATATATATGGTAGAGGTTAGAAAAAGGGTTTTCCACATAGTAGATAGAAAAAAAATTTTTGTGAAATTGATTTAGGACCAGAGCCCTGAAAACTTGGGAGAGCTCTTCTTTAGCAGCAGCTCAATAAATGTCTGTTGAAATGGCACCGCCGCTCCTGAAGCAGAGCTTTCAAGGTTCTGTCAAGTGCATTTTGCATGGTCTACTGTGTATCACCCAGTGAACTTTGCTACCTGCTGTCAGGTACTAGTATAAAATTTTAATTTATATCCTTACTATAATGTTGATTAAAGTCAAAGAGTTTGATCTCTGATGATGGAAAAAATGTGCAGAAAATATGATTCTTTACACTTATCTTGGGATGATCTTTGTCCCAGTTTCATTCATACGAGCTGAATCCGTACGTAGCGTAACAGGACGTCTCTAGTAAGTGTTTTCTAATCCTCCCTGAGGATGTTTTTTCCATTGCTTTTCAGAGAGGGAGGGAAGGAGGGAGGGAGAGAGAGAAATATCCATGTGAGAGACACATTGATTGGTTGCTTCCCACACGTGCCCGGACCAGGGCTGGGATGGAGCCTGCAACTGAGATATGTGCCCTTGGCTGGAATCGAACCCGGAACTCTTTAGTCCACAGGCCGACGCGCTAACCATTGAGGCAACCAGCCAGGGCTCTAGTTAGTATTTAAGAAGTGTCAAAAAGACAAACATTCAAAGTGACGAACAAAATAGATCCAGAGACGTGGAAGCATGCAACAGACTGACCAATCTGGGGCAGATTGCGGGGGGGATTAACCAAAGAATTTATATGCATGTGTGTATAACCCATGGATACAGACAATAGTGTGGTGAAGGCTCGGGAAAGGGTGGGAGAGGGGTATGCAGGGAGTCAAGGCGGGGAAAAGGGGACAGGACATCTGTAATACTTTCAACAATAAAGATAAGTTAAAAAATAGATAAATGTCCATGACTATCCATTTTAGTGCCTTGGTTTTTGATAATAAAGACCATTGAGAAGTGCTTTGTAAGCAAAACACAAACATTTAAGAAAATTGTTTGATTTTCTTTCAATGATCATTAAACAGCTTTTGTATGTTTTTGATGCCATAGCCTATAGTGAAATGTCACTGTATTGTAGGTACGTGAGTACCTACCATGTGTCTACAAATAGAACTAATATTTATTGAGAACTAGCTCTGTGCCTAATAAACATGCAAGCATTTACTTTTGAAGTTTGTTGAAAATCATGCATTATAATTATTTAAAAACAAGTACCATATAATATTTACTAAATGGGAAAAGAATTATCTGTTCTTTGAATATTATAAAGGATTCTATTAAGATGAACTTGGTAATTTTTAAGAATATGGTATACTGACCTATCGTGGCAAAAAGCTGCAGTGAGAGTATGCTTATTTATAAAATTCTGAAATGTTTTTATATTCAAATTATTTTTAATAGTACAAGCAGAATTTGTAAAATAACTTAAACCATAATGGGTACTATGAGATATGTTGTCAAGCAAAGTATTTATCAGTCAGAAAAGGTTGGGAAATACCCTTGTAGAGTAATCAATAAGGACTTTTAAATGGCAGAATTGTTGCCTCAACAGGCCTAGAGAAAGGAAATGATGAGTCGTCCCACTTTGCCCTGTAAGTAGTAGTGCCTCTGGAGAATATTTGTCTGCCTGAATCACAGCTCAAGTTATGCTATAAAGAAGAAATTTTTTTCTTTTTATTTAAAATATTACAAATGTCCCTTTATCTCCCCAATGACCCGTTCCACCCCATCCCACCCCCCTCCCCAGTCCCTCTCTCCACCATTGTCCCTGTCCTTGGGTTGTGCATATATGCA